CCTGGCTCAGCCCCTGCAACCAGGACTCGGCTCATCGCCACTGCCATTCCCAGACCTGCCCGGAGTCTCCCCCAGGTAGGGTGGGATGGGGTCCAGGCTGGCAAGGCACTGCCCAGCCATACCCCATGGTACTGCACTCAGCCCAGCTGCAGGAGGGAGTGCATGGCCATGGCATGGGTGTGGGTGCAGGTGTGTGCACAGCAGGTGAGCAGGTAGCACAGCACACACAGCTATCACACCACTGGCAGCACGACACCAGCGCTAGGCCTGGTGGGTTTGTTGGCACTGCTCAGCCAGCCATGGGCAGAGTCTGCTTGCATGGGTCTGTGCTTGCTGAAGTGCCAGCCCCATGCACAGCTGGCACTGGTCAGTGTGATAGCTGAGCCCTTCCCCAGCTGTCTGTACCACCTGGGACATCAGATAAATAGATACAAATCTGTATAGCTCTATAATAATCTATATGCATACTTGGCTATCTTGGTGAGCACATGTATCAATGCAACACCTACTCTAACAGTAGCAAAGCTGCATTTCCATGCTGCTTTAGGAGTTGGGAGGTTTTTTAGGAGGCACACAGCAGAGCCTCCAACAAATCCCAAGGCAAAGGCAGGAGCTGTGGCTCCTTGTAGTTACCGTAGATTGCTATGCACCCCACAAAGAGGTTTGCCAACTCTGCAGGGATTCAAAACATTTTCCCTTGCGTTTTCCTCTGAGGGAATGTAGTTAACTGATCTGCTCCTCCTCTGGGCTTCCTGCTCCTCCAGGTAAAGCTGCTGCCTGCCTGCCTGCACCATCAGAGATGACATCAAAAGCTGGGTGACCTGCTCATACCTGGAGAAAAGGTAAAGAGGATGGAGGGAATCATCAGAGTAACATTGGCTCTGCAGTGTGGGTAACTGTACTGTGACTGGAGGGTTTACTGGAGGCACTCCTGGGTGTTTGGGGTTCTCAGTCCTACAACTCTGCAGACTGAAGCAGAGCAGAGCTAGGCCCATGGGCTTTGGTTCCTGCACCAAGAATTGCTTTCAGCTGTGCCCACAGCCACTCCACTGCCTCTGTACCTGAAGCTGCTGAAGCTATACTCCTTTTGTCTCCTTTTCCTTCTTCTCTCCCTACTCCTTTCTTTCCTTCTTCCCTTACTTTCTCCTTGCCTTTCATTCCTTCCTTGCTCTCCTAAGGGGATTCTGCTCCCTTACAACATCTTTCC